ATCCCCACATACTGGAACTTGGTTGCCTCTTCAAGGACCTTTCCATCAAGGTAGAATTCTTGAGGTGTTTTTGGCTTAATTCCCATAGCACCCCATAGACATTTCGTATCCTGTATCTCACACCCTATGTTTCCCATATGCCTTCCTGTACCATTCAATTTGTCCTGGAAACCATGACCTGTATTGGATAGTATCATCAGGTCATCTGCATGCTCAAGCTTAGGGATGAATTTCCCGTTGAGGGTAATATCTCCTGGGAAGGCAGACAGTTTGAAGCTGGCTAGAAGCAGATTCCAAAATTGTGGAGATCCGGAGTCCCCAGTGAGGACCCCCAAGTAGGAGAAGAAGCTATCAGATAGTTCCTTGTTAACCCGAACCATATATTCCATTTTGTCATACAGAAGCATGATTAGGTCAATCAACTCCCCCGCCACCCCCATCGAGTTCAGGTTGGTAAAAAGCACACTGCGGTTGACAGCCGGGAAAGCGTTTTTCAGATCCACCACTGCCACATACATAACCTTTCCTTCTGCTGCAGCCTTATCTGACATCATGCGCAGTAAGAGAGGGTTGTTGTTTGTGCGATATCCAGCCATAAAGCCATTCTGGGTCTCTGGGATCAGCTTTGAGTCCATGGAGAATTCCTTTACCCTCCGGTCAATGAGCAATGTTAGGAATTTCAGAAGGCAGCACTCCAGCACTATGAGCCGATAGCTTTCTGGTCTATTCGGGTCTTTCCGTGCCTTAAGGACACCTGCCACTAACGCTGCTAGCCACTTGGAGGGGAAGGCCTTCTTGTCAACAATTGCTTGAAGCAAGATCAGAAGAATCTCGTTGGGGATCTCCATGATATCACCATACGAGAAGTCATCAATACCCGATGCCGTTGAAAGGTGCTTCATAATGTGCTTCTTTCCCCACTCAACATCCCCCAGAGTCAATTTACGAGAGAAGCTTTTCTTCGGTGACAAGTCCTCATTTGTGCGAGGCATGTCTCGGAAGAGCTCTGCACTCCGCTGTAATTGCTCCTTGTTGAAAGATGGAGGTAAGACTTCCGGTTCATTCATACGTTTCTTGAATTCCTCTGTCAACTCCTCTAGCAAGACCCGTATTGGCTTTGGGCGAGGATCTGTCCAGCCACGTAGGACACGCCAGAACGACCCTGAATCCTTGCATTCAAAGATTTTATCTCGTAAGGACTTCTGCAAGCGGCGTACTTTTTCACGTCCTCGGTGGTCTTCTGGGTTACCCTGCGGGGCCTCCTCTTCATCCTCCTGGTCTTTCCATGCCGATGGCTTTGCAGTAGCCTGCTCTGGCAGTGCGGTGGAAACCTTTGGGGTGTCTATGCTCCCTGTGTCAACACAGATATCCCCCCAAGGACAATCCAGGAGGGGAGTGTATTCCCCAGTTGGCATTGCCTCTCGAAGTCCCTCTTGTGCCAGTTTTCGCACCGCATCTGCCCTCTGGTTCTTACTCCCACGCTCTACTCGAATAAGACGCGTTGGCGCCAGGCGTTTTGCCAGCAGGAACACCAAGTCTTTTAGAAGGTCACCATTAGGACAAGACCATCCAATTTGAGAGTTTTTTCCTGCCCAATAGCATGCATGGCGTATGGTATATTCCGAGTTCGTGAAGACCATCAGTGAGACTTGTGGGTCCGCCCTCTGCACAGCTATTAGGGTTGCATAGAGAGCTGCCCTATTGTTGGTGAGAGGTTCAGGGCCTGGGACTGCAAGTACACAATTTGAGCCAGATGTCTCCCCCCAGAAGACAGCTGCCACAGCTTGTACATTGCTCGTTCCCGTAGCCTTACATGATCCTTGTACATAGACCTGTGCATATGGTGTTTCAACATAAACATCGCCATATAGCGCATGAAGCATTTCTGCGGGGCTTTGTCTACTAGCCATAGCCTCTTCACATAGCTGGTCAAGTTCAGGATCTCCATGTGGGAGGACTGGCGGCTGCACAACTCTCCGTGGAGGGCTTGGTGCCATGTCCAGAATTGCACGGTCAATTTTGAGTGTTAGACTGACATGGTCAGACCATGCCTCCTCGGCGTCGACCGGTATTTCTATTGAGAGTGAGCGGACCATTGGCAGAAGTATCTTGGATACGACTGCATAGTCCACGACAGGCTCTGCTTCTCCGACTTTACGGATGGATGTGAACCTGCCAGGCGAAGCATCTTCATAATTTGTCCCATTAAGGATGACAAGTTGCGACCTTTTCCAGGCCGAGAGCATTCTCCGCCCTCTGGCTGAAACAGATTTTTGGTCAGAGGACAGACGAGCCAAGTCCCCGTCTGCCTTTTCTGATTGAGTCCGAGCATTGGCGTCAAGTAACAGAATCATTTCTTTCGTATCATCTGCTGTTGCACAAAGTGCAAGTGTCTCCTCGAGCTTGTCCTCAGGAGAAGTGTTGGTAAAATGCTGCCAGCGTGAGCCGTTAGGGAGAATATAGGCCCCCACTATCCAACAGGTGTTCAAGTCGAGCACCAGAATATCTGGTGACGACAAGATCGATTTTTTGGCATGTATACCTATTTTTAGGAAAGCGGTTACCCCCCCGCCATGGCGCTCCCATGGGCCAGTAACCTTGCGGCATACTGACAGGGCATAGTATCCATGCGGGACCGCGAGGCATTCCTCGTCGTCAGGTAGTAGATGGGTTTCTTGGAGAATCACGATATCGTGCGCTCGGATAATGTCCTCAAACTCAGGGCTGTACAGCTTCACGCATAAAAGACCATTAATATTCCACGAGAGTATAGATAAATCTGTACGAGGTAATACGGTACTATTGCGCAATCGACTGCCAGCCCCATCTAGTTTCCCGTCAGGAAAGAGATGGTGTCGGTGGCGTTCGATGAGCCAGCAATCGCCACGTGCGTCGCAGTAATCCCACGCAACGCGACGGGCATAGTGGTGCTCGCACCGATCCACGCGCCGACAAAAGAGTTCGCATCGTTGGCCGTGGAGAACCCGACCGCAATGACGGACGGCTCACGTGCTACGCGCTCGATGTACACAGCAGGGAAGGAGTACGAGGGCATGGCCGTCTCCGCGAGCTTCCAGAAGATGGTGGGCGCGCTGTGCTTCGTGTCGGGATTGACGGGCCCAACACGCACCCAGTGGTGGTAGGCTGCCTTGTCGGGCTTTCCGGCAGAGCGCTTAGCCGGCGGCGCGATGAGCTCCACGCTCGCCTTGCGCTTGTGCTTCTTCCCGCTGACGTTGATGGCGTAGTTGGCAGCGGGGGGAGCGGTCGCAGCGGGGGCAGCGGGGGTAGTGACGATGGTGGTGGAGGCCGGGGTGGAGCGCATCATGAACTTCGCAAGCTCACCCTGCGTGCTCGCGATGCTCTCGCGCGCCCCGAGAACCCCACGCCGGTTCTCCTCCGCCTTCTTCTCGACCCTAGCGATGCGCGCGTCGAACTTTGCAAGCTGGTCCGCCGCGTCGTCGAGCCTCTTGAGGAGCGGGGCAAGACTCTCCTGCACCTTGTCGACGACCATCTCGTCCAGGCCATCAAAGCCCTCCTGGACCGAGCCGTAGAGCGCGTTGACATCGCCCTTGGTCGCAAAGAGTCCGGGGATGGGAAACCCCTCCGCATCGGTGAAGGAGTCGGCGAGGCGGCCAACACGGCGCTGAGTTGTCTCGAGATCGTCAGTGAGACGGGCGATCTGGGCGGTGTGGAGGGAGACCCGGCCGTCGGAGGAGACGCCGGCGCCGCCAGCGGCGAGCTTGGCATCGAAGCCCTCGAGGGAGGTACGTACCACGCCCTCGAGGACGCCGAACCTCTCCTCGATCTTCCCGGCATTGACGTTCTGGATCTTCGATTTGAGGTCGCGGACATCGTTCTTGACGGCGAGGATATCTCCCTCGAGCTTCGCCTCGAGCCGAGACGGATGATGTTTCCGTTGGCGCGAGCGGATCCAGCGGCGGCGGGCTCGGGCTTCTCCTTCGTGCCGGCTTTGGTGGTGGGAGGTCCGGCGAGGTGAAGCACCTTGCTGACTTCCTTGTGGGTCGCGAGGAAGACAGGAGTGGCATCCCCGTCATCAGCTAGGGAGTCCGAGGGCGTGGGCGTGTCTGCGACCTCATTCGCGATCGAGGCGGTACGAGAGAGCGGACGGGCGGCAAGGGACGGGCCCGTGGTGAATGTGGGGGGTGCCTGAGGAGAAGCTTGCGCAAGTGGTTAGGGCAGAGGGCAGCAGACGCCGCGGCTTGGCTGCCGCTTGTCGCGCGAACGGGCGAACGTGTTCCCAGGACCCATGATACGCGAATAAGCCCGAAAAAAACCGGGCGGCGCCACGGCGGCCGCGAGCGAAAGGGAGGGGCAGACGGCGACGAGCGCAAGTTCAAGTTGGAGGGAGGGAGGGAAGGACGCTCACACACAACGACGCTGTTATATGCGCGTCGGTCCCATTGTCTTTCCTCATCGTCGCCATCACACAAATCCTATTGTCCTCCCGATCGCAATCACGTCCCAATTGGGGTCGGCGGCAAGGCCCGGCGTTTGACAGGCGTGGGTTTGATCTCAGTTGAACAGAGCTGAGCGCAAAGCAAGTTGATTGAAAGACCGGTTACTATTCAAGCAATAAATCTACCGCTGATTGACCTCCATCGTAAACAAACCCGCGGAAAGACCAAGACAAAAAAAACTTGTCTCGTCACTCTCAATCCCGTCTCGCCGGTCGCGGCTTAAATTCACTCCCCCAAACGTCCGGCGTGTGTTCCTTACACCACAGTGCCTTTCTATGCTTGAATTTAACCTGTTACCTAAACTCAAAAGCGTTGGATGGAGAAAGAAAGAAAAAAACATATTTGGAGCCTTTAAGGCACCGCGGGGAATCGAACCCCGTCTCGCCGGCTGAAGTTTCGCAATCATTCCCCAACTACAATCACGACGCGTGTTCCGTACACCACAGTGCTTTCCTCTCCTTCAATTCAACCCTACTTTATGTTACTCAGGTTGGGGAGAAAAAACCACTTACTCCAGACCTAAGGCACCGCGGGGAGTCGAACCCCGTCTCACCGGATATATACATATGGATGAGTACACAGCTACAATCACGGCGTGTGTTCCGTACACCACAGTGCCTTTCTATGCCTGTGGGGATATTCTCTAGGTGTGAATCAATTTTTAGGCGGCGCCCACAAGCAAGTAATAAAAAGGTGGCCGAAAGGCAGTGCACCGCGGGGAGTCGAACCCCTTCTCACCGAATATAAGCCTGCGGTTCACCCAAGAAGTTCGGCGGGTGTTCCGTACACCACTGTGCTTTCCTATCCCTGAATTCAAGCCTCACTCCAGTTACTCAAATTCGGATATTAAAGCATTAGGAAGAAAAAAAGACGCTGAAGAGCCTACGTAAGGCACCGCGGGGAGTCGAACCCCTTCTTCCCAGATATATTGTCGCCAATCTCATCCAGAGTTCCAGGGTTTGTTCCGTACACCACGGTGCGTTCCTCTCCTTCAATTCAACCCTAATTTGAGGCATTCAGATTCAAATGCGTTGGGGTCGGGCCAAAAAAGTTACGCCACCTTTCACTATCAATGCACCGCGGGGAGTCGAACCCCATCTCGCCAGATACCCTTAATGAATGCCTTCAACAGGAGTGGCGTGTGTTCCGTACACCACGGTGCCTTTCTATGCCTGTGAGGATGGTATTGAGGTGTGAGTAGATATTGACCGGGGCAAAACAAAAAGAGCTGAAAAGAAGCAGCAGGGCACCGCGGGGATTCGATCCCCGTCTCGCCGCTACGTTCCATTCAGACTGGTGCAGTGTTTTCCGTACACCACGGTGCGTTCCTATTCCTGGATTCAACGTCAGTTTAAGGCACTCAGATGCAAATGTGTTGCGGAGAAAAAAAGCATTAGTCTTTGATTCACCGTACTTATTGAATAAAGAGTCAAAAATGTGGAAAGCTGCACCGAGCGGCGTCGAACCCCATCTCGCCGGTCTACCTTCTTATAATAATAACTTATACATTTAGTCGTGCGGCGTGTATTCCGTACACCATGGTGCGTCCCAGTGGACGCGAGGATGCTATTGAGGTGCGCCGCCAGCGGGAGGCAGCACTCGGCAATACTCAAGGCAGAGAATACAATCCACTGAGCGGATTTTGAGGCGTATACGTGTTGTGCTGTCTCAAAGCGAGACCAATTCAGACTTAAGCAACGCATCAGATTAAGAATATCGGAGACGAGCTCGATCGGACCCAGATTGAAACAGGCGTTGTGCACCGCAAACGAAAAAGAGGCATTCATGTGGCTCCGTGGTCAGTCAAATTCTGCTACTGGATGCCCTTGAAATCCTGTGGCGTAGGAGAAGTCTCAGGCCAATTGCATGCAATGAAAGGCCTTACCTGGAACCAATTATCATGATCAACAACATGGCGAACCTGCCTTTACATCAGAGCATGCTCGGCAAACAAAAAGGGCGATGGGGGGCGCACCAGACTCCTCGAACTCATACGAGGAAAATATTGGACAATGCTCGGGCCGCGCTCGGTAGAATCCTCCAGCTCCAGCGCAGGCAGCGGATTCACTGGAAGAGCCACCAGTTTGTTGTCCAGCAGGTCACAGCATCCGTCGGGCAGATCACGGCTGCAGATCACGATCGTCCGGATTCGGGACGCGCGCGGGATCGTGGAAAGGGTATCGAGAACTCCTTGAAGCCTCGACGCTGTCCCTAGCTCCATGCGGACGAGCATGAGGTTCGGAAACGCGGAAAGGTCCAGGACGGGGACGGCCTGTAAATTGATAAGAATATGTCCGTGGGATGATACAACCAGATGCACACCCATAGATGAAAATCGAGAACCTCAATGGTCCGAAGGGAAGATGAAAACTGCTGCCACCGGATCACACCGTCGCTCCCGTAGATCGAGAAGACCTTCAGGCAGGATATATCAAACGGACACTGATCATCCATGAGCCAGGTGTCGATGTCTCTGACAGTGCCGATCCTGAGGGATTCCAGCGTGCGACGGGTGCAACCACGGTGAGGAAGGGGCCCCGATGAGTCGAATGAGCCTAGGGAACAGTAAAATTCTAGGTGGCGGATGTTCGGAGAGCAGAGATCCCAGATCTGGCGAAAGTTCGATGATTCCTGGAAGTAGGCCGTGATTGTGATACGCCGCAGAGTTGGCCGGCTCAGTAGTTCTTTCATGGCGATTCCGACGGAAGGAGGGACTGGACTTAGATGGCGAATGTATACGGAATGTAGATGGGTGAACGGGAACTCGCAAATCGCTGAGAACGTCTCGATGGATAGCTCCCTCCAGTTCAAGTGAAGCTGGTGGATGTGGCGGATGAGGTGTGGGGTCTGCAATATCTGCTGAAGTCTACACCACGGGTCGGTCGACCAAGGCGATCTCGTCGATATTTGGCTGAAAAGTTGCGCCTGGGCTGCAGATGTCCAAGAACGAGAAACCAAGGCACAGGCTTTCAGGTCGGTGGGCGAGTCGCAGAGGAATTCGATACACTGGTCTAGCAGTTCCTGGATCTGCAATGGACTCCGTTCTTCCATCCCGGCGTGATGATTCCAGGTCAAGTTCCAGAGCTGAGAGGCGTGTGTGTCGGAGGCAAGTCGGGAGGAGAAGATGCGGAACGTGGTCACGACTTGGATCTGTGACATGCTGGCTGAGCCGAGCTGCCGAGGCCCGAGTTGCCGATTCCGAAGGTCCCGGCATTTAAACTGAAATGTGTCTCACTTGCTGGGTCAGGGCCTTCTTTCGATTAAACGCGTGGAATATCCGGCCAACAATTTTCATGGCCTCTTCGAAATTCTCGCCGTGCAAGGAAAATTCTCACGTTGGTTGCTCATCTATCCTATTCGGGCTCTAGGCACCTAGACTTCCTCCCTGATTACTGAGCGCCATACAGAAGCTCGCGGATACCTTCAAACCTTGAACAACGGTCAATCCTAACATGTTGAAGAACCTTCGAATTCTTTGGCACAATACAATACCCTCAGAGTACCTTTCGGCCGCACTAAAGTATCGATGATGTGTCATCGGGTGCACTGTGCGGCGTGCTGGCAACCAGCGTTACGTTCCCTTTGTTTCTCACGTCCACGAGGTGCCTTGGGAGTTGCTCATGAGCCCCTCATTCTGCATCCTCGCAGATCCCGACATATCTGGAATCGGCGTCCGTGCAGCGATCTACTTGCAGAATCTGCTCAGCTTCATACCGGCGATCTGGGCTCTCTGGGACGGAAAAGTCTCTGAGGCGGAACTCGACGCGGTGGAAACCCAATCGACGACGATCCTCATCACTGCTTTCGCCATTCTGATCACGGCAATCGTCGAGGCTCAAACGGAGGGACTGTCCAACTTCCACGCAAGCATAGTTCTCAGCCTGAGCTGGATGAACAACACAAATACATTCATTTACTTCTTGCTCTACATTCAGCACAAGAGTCTGGCTGAAGAGGGGCGGATTGACGATCTCACCTCTTGGATGAAGCACATTCGGGAGAACGTTTGGGCGAGTCCAAGCGATGGCTCTGGAGATGGTGTGGGACGCTTATTCAAGATATTTGAGATTACGCTCACAGTTACGGTGGTCTTCAGAACACCACGGAAGTGTGGGGCCAACGTCACAGCCGTTCTATCTGAAACTTGGCGCATCGGACGGCAACGTGAATAGCACAGAGAAGCGCCAGGGTAAAACTGTTTTGCTCTTCCACAATTAAAACTCACCTCTGTGGCAGGCAATCGCAAAAGCACGGTGCTTCGCCGTAGATCACCAATACGGCGGATCTTCATGAAGATCGTGCTTGTCCTCGGCTCCCTCCACCTATCCCTAATGGCGGGCCTCGGGATTTGGTTCTGGAGTGACCCAAATTCGTTCGGAACCTTTCACGCCTGCGATATCAACCTATTATTCACCGTCATCCTGGGCCAGCCGGTCTCTCTGGGATCGGGCCAATTGAGGAACTGGTCAATTGCGATTTATTCCTTGTTTCTCGCTCCCGGGTTCAATTTGATACTTCCGATGGGACTGTTCCTTGGTGTCTTTCTCAGCTACCAGGCATGGTACAGGCGCTGGCAGCCCCAGGTTCACCTCAAAACTGCGAGCATTGTGCCCACAGTGCTCGGGATGGCGCTTTTGTTTGCTATCAATCTCATCTTTCTGGTGGATATTGAGCGTACGCTGCTACGAAACCGAAAACTACAGAGTCCCGGGGAAGCTCTCTGGACCTTTGGCCAAATTCTTGCGATTTTTTTGCTGGTACTCCCTTTGCGCGACCTCGTCGAGACTGTTCTCTCCCGCCATGAGAAACGACGCATAAAAGAGCATACGGAATTGCTACGGAATGCCATCAGGGAGGGTGCGACGTCAGAGACGCTTCGGGCTCTAGTCAAGCACGGCGCTGATGTCAACGCAACGGTTGAGGGTATGGATCTCTTTTTTTGCCATCGTCAGCATACTGATCATTCCAGTGTAGACTCTGATTACGCCACCGTACTGCAGCTGGCATCGTCCCGGTCGGATGAAAAACTGGTTGCTACTCTGTTGGACTACGGTGCAGCGCCAGATATTCGAGGTAAAATCGGTATCGATGTTGCGCAGGTTTCATTAATCGTACTCAAAGGTGGGAAGTACGAGACGGCGCTCCAAGCTGGGTCACGGGGGAGTTTGGGAATCGTACGGCTCCTTCTTGAGAGGGGAGCAGATCCAAATATCCAAGGCGAGGATGGTGGCTTTCAACATTCACCGGCGCTTGCGCTGATCCCTCTCAACTTGAAGGTGGTGCGCACGGGACGGCGCTCCAGGCATCGGTATTTAGACCAGAACATTGGGATATCGCCCGGCTGCTTCTTTCACATCCGAAAATCATAGGTGAGAATATATTGTGATCTCGAGGAGGTACTGAAATGGTGCTCAAAGTCGGTAATGACAAAAGCATACTGCTGAGTGCGTTGATTGCAGGAGAGATCGAGGTCGTCAGGCTGCTTCTCGGGAAAGGAGCAGAGCCGAATATAAAATGTAATGATTTCCTTTTGCTTCGAAGACGTACGGCTGAAATCATTTTACAAGCCGGGCAGTACGGGACACCGCTCCAAATAGCGTCGCGATCGGGGAATCTCCC